CAGTTATAAGAAACAAGAAAGATATGTCAGTTTTTCTTTAGAAGTAGAAATTAAATACTTAAAGAAATTAAACAAGTAATTGAATACAGGGATGGTACACATTCACAAAAACGGTATGAAATAGTAAAAGCCTAAATATACCCAGCAGAGTCGCCATGCTGTCGCGCCCCTTTTTTCCTTCAACGAAATCGGATTCATGACATTTTGGTTGGGACAACTCTTTCCTTTTGGGAAAGGAGTTTTACAATTTTGAAGAGTCGCCACCTAACGATTTTAAGATACGTTAGTACACCTATAGGGTTCATTCATAACTACGTTTGGTAACCAAAGATAGGGTAATAGATTGAAATTATCCTAAGGGGAAAGTGTTAGGCACCCCTCAAGTTCCACTAGTGTGGTTCCCGACCAAATAAGTTTTGTGAATTTGTGCAATTAGCAAATTAACAAGTATGGCTCAAATAATAGGGGATTTAAATTTAAATACACAAGTGTTTGAAAACAATTAGTGAAAGGTGAAATTTTGAAAAGAATTACGATCTAAAGCATGCTTATGAATGTAAAGGGGTGTCCTAGGTTTGTTTGTAATATGGATCACATCAATGCAATACCAGGTATGATACTTCTCAAAGAGGGGCTACATGCGGTATTAACACACCAGTCATCATGTCCATATCTACCCTTTCCCGCCCCATGAAGGTAATTAAAGCGAGGGTTGGTCTCGACCCCTATTGCATGATGTTACCCGTCCCTTCCTATCAGTCCCAGAGGAATTTAGGACTTATATCCTATGAGGGAGGTTCTAGCCAGACCCTCAAGTTTAAAGGCAAAATGCTAGGCGACAAACAAGAACACATATGATTGCATTTAAAGGGAGCATGGAAGACAAATGAAAGGCTCAAATATATCTCCACATACAGTGCATATGAACAGCATGACTCATACATAGATAAGGCCTGAATTCAGAATCCTAAAGCATGATATCTAAGTGATAACAGCAGAACCAGATTTATTGCATGACTCAGAAAAAAAGTCTGAATCAGGCTTGTGTACTAATTTTAGCGTGTTGGCAATTAAACAAGGACAATTCTGTTTTTATTTAAGCAATTACCTAAGGCTTGCCTAGGCGTAAAGCAATATGCAGAAGTTATTCAGAATTATTAAAATAGTTTGGAGATGGTTTTTTACCTAAGAGCATGTTGTTCTAATTGATACGAATGTAGAGATTATGACCAATATAATTCAGAAAAAATCACGATGTGAGATTATTTTTATTACCTTTTCATGAATTAGTAATTACCTAGGCGTCTTAAACAAAAATACAAACAGGATCCTAGGACATGATATCTAATATGCACATGCAAATGACAGGATTGCAAAAAAAAAAACAGAACCCCTAAGGCAGGATTTCTAAATGCGCACAAGAGTTGCAGAATTATTGAAATATGACTTCTGAAAGTACAAGAGTATCAGCTTTTATGCCAATGTTGTTATTGTCCTAGGAGCAGAATTTCTAAGTGATAGACATAAAACATGGATTAGTGATGGATGAGATGCTGAAGCAAGAAACATGGATCCTAAGAGCATGATTTCTAATGCATGTATGAACCCTAAGCATGATTTCTATTGTGCAATTAGGAATATAAACCTAACAACATGTTTTCTACCCTTTAACAACTATAGCATGCATATTTACCCCATCCCTTTTCACTAGCTAACCCCAATACTTGTTTACAACATGTTATTACAGACCAACCTTGAAATGAATTACATAAGTAGCAATGAAAATAAGAAGTTACATTATAGGAAGCATGTTTAGGACTTCCTCTCTGAGTTATGTAATCAATCACCTCAAGTGCCAAGGTTGTTTCGTAGCTTTTCCTCATATCTAGGTGTGTCAGAGTTCCCTAAGGACCTCAAGGGATCCTGGGCAGTACTCACACCCAGATTGCATAACCAAGACAGAGTAAGTGCAGTGTGGAAAGGCTAGCTTTTATGTGTCCAAGTTCAGAGGAAGCTCAAAGATCCCAAGGCAAGGCTCACACAAAAGGGGCAGAACCTAGTGGTCTAAGAATATATGTGAGAGTGCTTGTCATAGATTTAAAAGAGTTGAGATGGAAAACAGTTTTAAAACAACATTTTTGAAATAAGTTTGCAAAACAACGTAACAGTTTTGAAAAAAGGAGAAGGGAATATGAGCAACAATAACTTGGAACAAGATAGCACACATAGAGCAAGTTCGAAGGATAGTACAATTTCAAAAGTCACAAGTAGGGGAGTAAGGGGTTGGGGATATAGAGGGACCAAATCAAAAACGCATAAAACAAGGATGAGAAGAGAAGCATTTAGACCAGCAAGCACAAAAAGAAGTAGCAACTGATTGGCCTACAAACTACTACTTCAAAGAGTTGACAGGAAATCATGCTTGAAATTAGAATAGTAAAAAGACATAGGGACAGGGTATGGGAGTAGTCATGCAGGGGTTTATTACATATAATTAGTCATGACTTAGTGTTAATCAAGTACATTAGGAGGCATACTAGTTGGGGGACATAAACAGGAACTCAAGTAGACATGTTGATTATATTTGAACAAGAGAGAGCAGAACTTAAGCATGCTGAATAAAGCAGTAAACAAGAAGTGCAGTTAAACAACATGAGCCATTAGGTCAGTGCAGAAAGAGACAGGGATTGGCAAACAATGGAGTACATAGAGTTGAGTTTCAGAATTGAACTAGGAACATACCAGTTAAGGAAGCAAAGTGCAGAAAAGTAAAGCAAGTAGAGTTCCACAGTCTAGCCTTGGCTTTCAGCCGGCTAGACAAGTAGTAGCACAAGTAGTAGAGAAAGAAGAGAAAGTTTGAGTGTGTATGTATATGTTCTGAACTAATTGTTCGTGTCTTATGGTAAAAAGAGGGTAGATTATTTATAGTTTTAGAACATGCATGAAAATAAGGTAATAAGTACTCACTTAGCATAATTATAGAAATAATACAAATCAAAATCAATTAAAGACCCGGTCTCCCTTCAATTAGGGAGTCATAGTTCAAACGGGTACAAGTTGTATCAAGCAGGGAAAAGAACTGATTTTACCATAATAGGAGTAGTAAAAGCATGCAGCATGTAATAAGGACTAAGTACGGAATATTATTAAAGTAAGGAAAGTATATTAACAGCATATTGGGCATCTAAATAAGGTAGAGCACAATTTCAATTTTGAAAGTCAGTTCAAAGAGTCACGGATGAGATGAAAAATCACAGGGAATCAGCACTAACTAAGGAAAGTGTCACAAAAAATAAGGAAGCAATTTCGAAAAATTAGTAAAGAATTACAAGGAAAATACACAAAATGACAGATGTAGGTTTACGGAGATTACACCAAATCAACATAAAATATATGAACAATCAATAAAATAAATAGTCGGACCTATTAAACGATAAATAACACGTGTTTGGACAAAATCAAAGAAACCTTAAGAACAAATTAGTGTAAGAAGCACATGAGCATATAGAACACACATGAAGCCTAGAATGTTCATGATAGTCATGCAAACACATCGCAAACAAACTCAAACTTCGAATCGAACCCAGAAGTATTAGGGTTTCTTCAAAAAAAATGAATCGAGCAAAAAGGAAAGACTCAGGTGATGTTTAAACATGCTAAAAATCAAAGTAATTGCTAAAATCAGAAAGAAATCATTTTTGCAAAAAAGGTTTTGAAACCCTAGTCTGGAAAATGAAGAAATCGTTTGAAATCGGAGAAATATTTTGAGAAAAATAGGTGAAAACCTTAAAAACCCATAGATCCATCACAGATCTAAAAAGATTGGAGGATTTATAGCTAGGTTTTTCAGAAAATAGCAGAGACGAAGAAGAAAATTGGTTAAAAAATCATGGATACACCTAGATCTAAGACAGATCTAAAGAAAAGTGAAAAATCTCAAGAATTAGGGTTTCAGAGAACCCAAAGAAGATGAGAGGACTTTAAAATGTTACCACTTTTGGCTGGAAAACTCATGGATTTGACTCGAACAACCATGGATGGCTGGAAAATGGCATAAAAGACCATGGATAGGAGTTGAAAAAGATCTGGACTAGATCTCTTCGAGATCTTTCCATGAAATCACAAAAACGAGTAACCAAGAGACGTAGGAGACAAGTATACGTCTCAAACAGCCATGGGAATCCATGGATTGAGTGAGGATCGAAGGGATTAGGGCTGGTTTGGGTGGCGGCGGCTAGGGTTAGGTTTAGGTCTCAAAGAGAATTGGAGAGGAAAGGGGATTGTAGGGAAGTGGTTTGGTAAGAATGAATTAGGGTAGGGGGGTCGTTTGGGTTAAAAATAGTAAGAGGGAATAGGGGTCGTTGATCTTAGAGATCAACGGCCAGGATGAGAAGGGGTCTGGGTCAGGTAGGATTTTAGTTGGGTTAGGGTCGGGTTTTTTAATTCAAAATTGGGCTGGGATTGGGGTTTGATTTGGGCTACAATTGAAAGCTAATTTGGCTATATTTTAAATAGCCATTTTTTCCTATTTGATTTATAAAAATGGTAAATAGTTTTCTGAAAAATAATTTAAAGTACTAAAATGATTTATAACACATAATTAGATATTTAAAAATACAGGATCCAATTTTATGCGTATAAAACATAATTAAATCTTAAAAGGGCTAATATTGCAGTTATGTGCAATTTAGCTTTAAAATACTAAATGTAATTATGAAAATATGTAAAAAAAAATACTTTAGCCATATTTTGGCATAAATATAGAAATACAATAGATGAATTATCAAAATAATAATTTTGGAAATAATTATTGGGGATTTTATGGATAAAAAGGGAGAAAATAAATTAATTTAAACCTTTAAAATTATGGGAAAACAATAAAATCTTTGTTCATGCTTATATATGCATATATATGCTATTTTGAAGGTATTTGCATATTGAAAATATATAGGAAATATTTGGGTATCAACAAAGCATATGTTGGGTCGTGAGACACTCACTCGGGATGACCTTGCAATCCATGCAAAGACCTCTATCACATTTCCTGCAGAGAAGATAGTTTTTCTGAGTCTTGGCCACCGTACTCCGGAAAGTGACCAGGTGCTCCTCCCTCTTTGGAAAACTCGAGTTAGCTACTACCAAATCAAAAGCTCTAGCGAAATCCAATAGCGAAGTACCTCTCTCGTTCATGTCTCCAAATCTGAACCCTCCATGCACATTGTCATAGCCCCCAGCATTAGCCCTGATATGGCCATTGAACTCCCCTCCATTGAAAATATTCTCGGTGCCCAGAATACTATGCACCACCTTGTCCAAGTCCTCCCAGAATTGCCTCTTGACCTCCTCGCCCAAGCCTACTTGAGGAACATAATAACTAATCACTCTTAAAGTAAGCCCCCCAACCACAAGCTTAACAACCATCAACCCTAACCTCGATTACTAGCTTCCTAAGATCTTTGTCAACTAAGATACCGACCCCATTCTTGCCCCATCACCTTTAGAGTACACAGTTTATAACCGTTAACATCATGTGCCTTAGTACCCTTCCACATGGTCTCCTGGACACATGCTATGTTGATCCTTCTTCTCTGAAGAATCCTACCCAACTCTCTAGTCTTACCCGTCAACGTCCTTATGTTCTAGGACCCAACTCTTAGCCTAGAAGTTTCCTTGTCCTTCTTCCCACCTTTGCCCCTACCTCCCGCCCCACCTGAGGACATGACTTTACTCTCACATCTTAAACCACAGCCACTATAGACTTAGTGTACTACTTAATCGCTACCACTCAACCAACAGAGAGAAAATATGCTAAGAATATGAAAACATAACAAGTTAAAAGTGTCAGGAACAAGTACAAAACTCAATCAAGTATTAGCACAATTAATCTGCTTGAAGAGACAGATGTAACATGCAAGATTGAATTGAATACAAGGCACTACCAATAAAGAAAATATGCTAAGAAATATGAAAACATAATAAGTTAAAGTTGTCAAGAACAAGTACAAAAACAAGAACAAAAACTCAAACACGTGCTAGCGCAATTAATCTACCTAAAGAAACAGATGTAAGAAGCAAGATTGGATTTAATATACGGCACTACCAATACAGAAACATACAGATGTAACAGAGAACAAATCGACTAAAAACTGCAACTAAAAATGGAGAGATAGAACCTAGAAATCAGAGAGTTGGCCGGAAGATGGGTGGTTGGTTCCGCCAGAAAATCCTGGGTAGTGGTCATCGGAAAGCTGCTTGGAGGTGTCGTCGGCGGTGACCTAGTATGCGGTTACCTGTGGCCACAGAGACTGCAAATGGGAAAGAAGAAAGAGACAGGAGGGAGGAGAAAAGAGAAAAGGCCGCAGGAAAAGAGTCGTCGGCAGTGTGCCGGATTACCCTTATCTAGGGTTTAGAAACTTAAAGAGGGTAAAAAAAGAGACAAGGAAGAGAAAAAAGGTGATGCAGGAAAAGAGAAGAGAGAGAGAGGAGAAAGAGAAGGGAGAGGAGCGATTACCTGGTGGCCATCGGTGACAATGCTGGTTTAGATGAATTATAGAAGACGTGAAGGGGCGTTCAGAAGAGAGGGGGCATTCTCAAAACTCCAATTTTTTATTCTCGATTGTGTAAATAATTTTTTTAAATTTAATTTCTATTAATAACATAAATTTTTTTTTCTCGTACTTTTTATTATTCTACGTTGTGGGATTACATTGGGTTTTTTTTTTTTTTTGGTTATTCAATGTCGTTAAATTATATGCTTGGTTATCATTTTTGACTTTTTTCAATTTGAAAATTAAATTTAGCTGTTATATAGGTATATAGCATAACTACTAGTTATCTTAGTTATTTTATTTTAATTTTTATTTGTCGTGTCCTTTTTATTATTCAACATTGTGGGATTACACTGGACTGTTGTTGTTGTTGTTGTTTTTATTATTGAACGTTATTAAATTATATGCTTGGTTATCTTTTTTACTTTTTTCAATTTGAAAATTAATTTAGTTGTTATATAGGTACATATCATAAATATTAGAAAAGAAAAAAATATCATGATGCTAAAGAGGTAAAAGATTAAAAACAAAAAGAAAGAAATGTTGATATTATAAAAGTTAAAATAGGTATTTTAAAAAAGTCAACTGAGAAATAGAGGAGAATGACAATTGTTCAAAGTAGAAGGGAGAGTTTGATTTTTAAAATAAAGTTCGGGGGTATAGATGATTTTCACCCTTCCTGAAAATTTCCCAAAATATAAAAACATCTATTTGCACCATAAACGTAGGATCATTTTTTTTTAAGGGAATAACTCGGACTTCAAACAAGGATGGCGGAAATTTTTCGCACTCCTTATTCCGTATCTCGTCCTTTTTTCCCTTTTGTTTTCGGTCAACTCTTTCGTTGTTTCGTAAAGCCAGATCTGACACTATAAATGACAAGCCTCAAGTCCTTTCCGTGTGCAATTTTGTCTACTCATACTAAGAAGGTAATTAGTTTGGGTTTGGTTTTTCCTATTTTCCTCTTTCGCTCCTGAAATTTTTCTGCTATTTTTTCTGGCTGTAAAAGCAAGCTAGATTTCTTTTTCCTAAAAGCTTCGTTCTTACTATTAAACAAAGCTTGTAGTGAAAAAGCAAAAGATTTTGTGTTTGTAAAGACAGTACTACTGCTATTACTTATTACTGTTACTACTTTTGTTCTCTCTACGGATATTTCACTTAGGTATTTTCAGTTATTATTGTGTTTTCAAGATTTGAGCCAAAATTGCAAACATATAAACTTCTTGCGCTCTTTAGACCACAAATTTTGATAATAAAACTTTTTACGTAATATCAGCACTTTATTTTGATGATTTACCTTCAGCTATTGGAAACAACTTCTCTCTTCTTTGGGATAGGGGTAAGGCTCGGATACACACTACCCTCCCCAAACTCCACTAGTCATGAGATTTCACTGAATTGTTGTTGTATTTTGATGATTTATAATTTTGATTTAGAAGCTGTATTTGTTTTATCAGGGATTGGAAAATCGGAAAAGGAAATAATCGCAGAGATCTGAAAGATGGATTCCGAAAATTCAACAACACAACAGTCAATTATGGCTGTGGTAGGCAATTTGCGACATCAAAACAGGAAGGAGAACTGTCCATCTGTATTTATCCAAAAAGAAGGAAAGATATTCAACGATCCTCCACGTTTACCTAGGAGCAATAAACCATCTACAGACCGCGTTGCATCAAATCGAAATAATAAACGAAGAAATAATTATAATGAGCGATCACCAAACCAAATTCGTCAGGATCCACCATCATTTAGCAATTATAATTCATATTCAAATTATGAGGTGACACCAACACGTTCGGCAGGTGATCCTCCAGCATCAAGGTCCGACAATTTCTATTCCGTGATTCCTTTTATCATTGTCTTCTTTTTTATCGTCTTCAAGTTCTTTATGTAGAAATTTACATTTTACTTTTCGCATGACTTGTTGCTTTTATTTAGAAATAAATAAAATACTGTAGCCCCACATTAGAGGAAGAGGGCAGTTGTCCATGGTGCAATAGCTTACTGGTCAAGTTTTTCATTTCGAAGTATGATGTTTAATTAAGTTTTGAATTATAACTCTTGCACAAATTTATTTTTAAGTAAACCACTCATGCACCTCCAAAGGAGAAGTACAACGGTCGTTGCAATAATAATCCAATTAAGAACCGAGGTCGAACCACAAGAAATTTAAATAGGTGTTATGGTATATATAGATATCTAAGAAGGCGACTAAATATACCTTAAATTAGCTTTAGTGACTAAATCTAAGAATTACACTAACTATTAGTCAAAATAGGCTAGGAGATACTTGTACTTGCTTCGGTTTGATATTTCGGTCCATATACTCCACAAAGTTCCATCCAAACATCTCAACTCGATCAAAACTAGTACTTTAAATGATTCTAATCATTGACCAAGCTTACGTGACATTAATGTATTGGGAAAAAACTGAGTTTATATTAAAGATGACGTGACATGACACGTGATTTGGTTAAATGGTCAAAGCGCAACAATTGACTAAGAGGCACGGATGGAGACAGCCACGGGAAGAGGAATTTAAATAGGCATGAGATGAAGTGCAGATACGAGTCTCGTACCAATTCAAGTCATTTAAAGCCAACGGATTAGAAGGCATTAAAGACAAAGATCTGATGACAGAAAGGAGTCCAAATTCATTATTAAATACCTGATACGTTAGAAAATTGGTATTTAATAGGAATGATTATATAACGGCTTATTTAATATCATTTATTACTCATAATTATATCATTAAAGCTGAGGCTTCATTCCTTTACCTAGAATTACCTATAAAAGGAAGAAGTATCATCATTTGTAAGGACACGGAATACTGTTGGGAACTTATTGAAATACAAAACTATTTGCTGTTTTACCATCATTCTCAAAAGTATTTTATTTTCGTCTCCTGATTATCAGTAACCCGAATTTCTTTTTAGCTTTGACCAAAAACTCAGATTTTTGGTTAAACAAATTGGTTCCGTTACCGGGAATCTGATAATCTTTTCTTTTAAGCTATATCTTGTCCATTGTCGTCACCATGTCAAACAACAACACCGACAATAATAGTAATAACACATTGGGAAACCATGAGAATCAAATACATCAAAATCAAGATGACGTGGTTCCCTCCCCTCCAGATTCACCACGTCAATCTCGTGAAGGCACTCCTGTTACTGAATCCCTTGCTGATCAATAAGAACAATCTGAACACTTTGAAGGAGTTACAACTGAAGCTTTACAAAAGCTAATTGATGCACAGGTCGGCAAAGCTCTTCAGGCACTTGTTAGTCGATTGCCTGCTGCACCACCCACACCAACTCCTAATAATAATACATTGGAGAATCCCCGTTCTGGTCTTGATAATTCTGGAAACGGAGCAACCCCCAGTGAACCACAGGAAGGGGGACCAGGTAATTCAAATAATTCATATTTGCAAAATTTGGTACTAACCTTGCAGAAACAGATTAAGGAACAAAATGAGGGTATTGAACAAATCCCTGGAGTTCCGCCTATAATAAAAAGAGTAGACATGGACAAATACTCACAACAACCATGGAAGCCAAGTGCTGCTCCCCTTCCAATTCCGAAAAAGTTCAAAATACCTGACATCCCGAAATATGATGGTACTACAGACCCACGTGACCACGTGACTGTATTTACAACAGGCGTGAAAGGCAACGACTTGACCAAACAAGAAATTGAATCAGTACTGGTCAAGAAATTTGGAGAAACACTCACCAAGGGTGCATTAACCTGGTATTCTCTTTTATCTGAAAATTCTATTAATTCTTTTGCTGAGCTTGCAGATTCTTTTATTAAAGCACATTCGGGAGCACAAAAGGTTGAGAAAAGAATGGAAGATATTTTCAA